AAGTAGTTACAGACATGAGTAAAAGTTATCACCTAAACATTTAAGCATCTTGTATTATCCAAATTTTAATATTTATTTATAGTTCTCTTAGTTTTTTTTTTAGGTAAAGTTTGTATACAGTGACAAATTACAAATCACAGTTATGTGAACTTTGATAATACCTAAGAAATGTGTATATATTCATGGTGTAACTTAAAATCAAATATAGAATATTATCATCACTATAGACAGTAACCTCCCACTCCTTCCCCTTATCAATCAATCCTGCTACTCCTATCTTCTCCACCACTGTCAAAGCAGCTGTTCTGATTTTCCTTATCAGAATGTACTATTTTTTTTTCCTCTTCTGGAACTTTATATACCTAGACCTATACAGAATGCACTCTTTTATAAAGCTTCTTTCACTCAGAAAATAATCTTAATAGTCATGCTGTTGTATCAGTCGTTAGTTGCTTTTGTTTGCCAAGTAGTGTTTTTTTTGTTTGTTTGATTTTTTTAAAGAATTCATTGCAGCTTGTTTATTCTTTCTCTGGGTGGAGGACATTTGGGTTGTTCACAGTTTTGAAGAACTTCTGTTAACATTCTTATCCAAGCCTCTTTATGGACTTTTATTTTTACTTCTCTGATGTGAGTACCTATGAGTAGAATTACCAGCTTAGTTTTATGGGAAACTCTCAGAGCTTTCTTCCCAAGTGGTAGTATCATCCTCCCCTCTCACTGAAACAGTGTATTTACATCTTTGTCATTTAGTGTTGTTACTCTTAGTTTTGGGCTTCCCTGGAGGCTCAGTGGTAAAGGATCCACTTGCCAATGAAGGAGTCATGGGTTCAATCCCGGGTCAGGAGGAGCCCCAGGGGAAAGAAATGACAACCCACTGCAGAATTCTTGCCTGGGAAATCCCAGGACAGAGGAGCCTGTCGGCTAGAGTCCATGGGGTCACAGAGTCAAACACCACTTGGTGACTAAAACAACAGCGAACAGCAATCTTAGTTTTAGCCATTTTGGTGAGTGTGTGGTGGTACCTCATTTTGTAGTTTTTGTTTCACCTATGACTAAGATACTGAGCACCTTTTCATATGCTTGTTAGTTGTTGGTCTTCTTTTGTGTTATGAGTGTTCAAATATCTTGTCCATTTTTTAGGTAGATTGTTTGTATTTTCATTATCAAATCTGAGCAATTCTCTTTTCTACCCTAGATACCAGTTCCTTATTGGATAGATATTTTGCAAATACTTTTTCCCACTCTGTATCTTGCCAGTTCCTTTCTTCAGTGATACATTTTAGTGATGAGGTGCAATTTATTAATGTTTTCTTTAATGGTTATTGTTTTCTTTGTTCTAAGAAATCTTTGCATGCCCCTAAATCATCATAATATTTTAGATGTTATGGAGAGAAGGCTGCCCCTGTCACTTCTCTAAGACGAGAAGCTGATTTTCAAAATGCACAAGTTTGAACTAAAATAGCCAAACAAATAAGGTCTGAAGGTTAATTCAGTCATAAATCTCTGATTTACTATCAGGTGACACTAGTGGTAAAGAACCTGACTACCAATGCAGGAGATATAAGAGACTTCAGTTCGATTCCTGGGTCAGGAAGATCCCCTGGAGAAGGGCATGGCAATCCACTCCAGTATTCTTGCCTGGAGAATCCCATGGACAGAGGAGCCTGGTGGGCTACAGCCCATAGGGTCACAAAGAGTTGGACGCAACTAAGGGACTTAGCGCATGCAGGCACATGCACACATTCTCTTTGTTATTCAGGCAAGTGACCATTATTATAGTACCAATAATTGTCAAGTAGTCCCAACAATTTAGCAAAGAGTACACAAATATTCTGTGGCAGGGAATACTTGGAAATTCAAGCAGCTGGTATTTGGTTGGGAGATTCAGTGGATAACCAGGCCCCTACTATGATAATGAAGATGAAGAAAATAAATGCAAGTTTTCAAGGAGAAACAAGATTGTAGACTGATAGCTTGAAACAAGCAAAATTACTAGAGCTTTTGTACTAGCTTAACCAAGGGTAGTTAGCTGGAAATTTGGGCTCTGGAAAAAGGATAGAGGGAATTCTGATTCAGAAAGAAACAGTAGAGCAAGTCACTAAATTCGTCTCCATCCTGTTTAGATTATCAGTGAGAACAAAGACAGAAGTAGTTTAGGAGTCAAGTTTGGTCAACTATATCACCCCTTTTGACTGGAAACCCTTTGGTCTGTGATTGCATCAGAGTAAAATCTTTATGCCTAAACATCAGAGAGTTGAGGTGGGGCAGACGGAAAATGTGGGCTAAGGATCAGCCTTTCAAACAAACCAGCAAAGCTATTTTTGAAAGCTTTTTAGAGCACTTCCTAAATGTGACTCAAACCATTTAGAAAATCAGGCTTGTGGATTATTTATCTTGAGTTCAATTAGTTAAATAGCATTAGGAACTTCTTGAAATCATCAAGGTGGCCCAACAAAATGCAGTCTGTAAATATGACATATGTAATTGTATAACACAAAATTAAAAAGCTCTAGTAGAAATAAAACAGGCAGTAGTAAAATGAATGTGGCAGAGGGAAAGCCATGAGTGTAATTGATACCTTGATCACTAAACAAGGTAACTATTGATATTTTTTAAGAAAAATCCATTTCAGGTAAGTGGATCCACTGACCTTTTTTCATTTTTTCTTATTGTGAAATGTCCATCTAGAGGGAGCCAAAATAGCTGAGCAAATAATCAGGATGACAGTGGGAATTAGCCCAGTGTGTCGTTAACATAACATGTATTCAGAAATACCAAGAATACAGCAATTTTCATGCCAGCTACTCAAACTGATCTTAATAAATTCTCATCAAGTACACTGACATAGCTTTATGGCATTTATTATCTTATTTTAAAGCACTGTTGTTCATGGGTTGAGTACAAGCCTGTGTGTGTGCATGCTCAATCGCTTAGTTGTATCTGACTCTTTGCAACCTCATGGACTGTAGCCCGCCAGGCTCCTCTGTCCATGGGATTATCCAGACAATAATACTGGAGTGGGTTGCCATTTTCTACTTCTGGGAATCTTCCAGACCCAGGGATCGATTGAACCTGAGTCTCCTGCATTTGAGAGGAAGATTCTTTACCACTGCGCCACCTGGAAATCATGAGTATTAGAGTCCATGGTAATTCTGTACAGCTGACTCCCAGGCTATATCTGTAGCAGGATTAGTACCCTGAGTTTAGGATAATGTATGCAAAACTCAATGATTTTTCCTTTTAATTAGAGAATTTCAGATTTAGCTCTAGGCTACTCACCATTTTCCCCTTAGAATAGCTACCTGTTTTAAAAGGGATTTTTCACTGGTATGATCAATAATTGAACTTCATGGTAGTGTTGTGCAAAGATCTCTGAACTTTGAAGTCAGAAAGGCTTGATAACTGTTTCAGATTGAAGAACATTTTTCTGTGCCTTGTCCTGGAAAACACTTAATACACACAATGTTCAGGTGTTTAAAAAGGCTTTTTCTCACCTCTGCCTGATATACCTCTCCTGCCCCATCTCCTCCCCTGCCCCATCTCCTCCCCTCAGCTACCTCCATCCTATTACCCTGGTTTATTTCCTTCATAGCATGGATCACTCTCTAACAGTAACTGTCTTATTTCCTTATTTACTTCCCACCATTAGAATCTTAGCCCTAAGAGGGCAGAGACCCTTCCTGTTTTATCTGCCATTATAACCTCAACAGCTTCTAGCAAATGGTAGATGCCAATAAGTAATTGTCAAATCAACTAAAATATAATTTAAGCCACTTCTGCTTCAGATCCAGAAATATTTGTTCCATCTCAAACTCTTAAGTTTCACTAGTAAAGTTAATAAAGCAGCCACATGAAGTTACAAATATATAGTACAGTGCTGGATTTATTTGGGGGCTTCCCTGATAGCTCAGTTGGTAAAGAATCCACCTGCAGTGCAGGAGACCCAGGTTCGATCCCTGGGTCAGGAAGATCTGCTGGAGAAGGGATAGGCTACCCACTCCAGTATTCTTGGGCTTTTCTTGTGGTTCAGCTGATAAAGAATCTGCCTGCAGTGTGGGAGGCCTGGGTTTGATCCCTGAGTTGGGAAGATCCCCTGCAGAAGGGAAAGGGTACCCACTCCAGTAAAAAGTCGGACACGACTGAGTGACTTTCACTTTCAGACTTATTTTAAATATCACATAGCACTAGACTTATTTTAAATAACAGTACTTAGAAGTCTGTAGCATTATAACCAGAAATGTTCATTCAGTTCTCAGAGTTCTCAAGATAGGATGGATGAAGAAGACAGTCTCTACCTAGACGACTGTAACAATGTATGGTTTAATGGTGAGTGAGAAAGAGTGAAGAAGCAGGCTTGTAGAATATATATCCTAGAACTGTCCACCTGAGAGATACTTTCAGAGCCAAGCATACTCAGCATTAGGTGGATACCCTCATTTTCTGTTCAATGATAATAAAATTGTTGAGGCCTATTGCCAAATATAAAGAATAAGGAATTATATGGCTCTGGACAAGTGGATGAAACTAAGACTGATATAAACACATTACAATTTGTGCTCAGTTAGCTGCTACAACAATTAAAATTCTACCAGTGTCATCAGCTGGTCTAGTTAAGAGCTGGACATAGGATGGAGTTAACACTTTCCAAAAATATTTTTGAGAAGATTTAGTTGTCAGTTTGTGAGTCAGTTTAGATGACCTTTTAAATTGTTCCCAATAAGATCTGTTTTAATTTGTATTATCATTGAAGTGTATTCAAATCATATAATTGTTAAGAAGCACCTTCTATGCCAGTTTCTGGAAACAAAATGATAAATAGGCCACAATCTAGTATTAGAACATCGTGCTCAACCTCCACGAGGTGGCCTCTGCTTGTTCACACATATAGGTCAGGTTCATGACTCAGCTGCTTGGTTTAACCAGCTATTTGTAGAATGATGGGTCACCATGACTATCATGCACAAATCAATTTGTTTCTTTGTTGGTCTCTCCGATAATAGCTCCAAGGTACACAGTGGAACTGGCGTGTGGTTTTGGAGCCACAGTCCTCCTCGTGGTGATTCTTATAGTTATTTACCATGTTTACTGGCTGGAGATGGTCTTATTTTACCGGGCTCATTTTGGAACAGATGAAACCATTTTAGGTGAGTAATGAAAATTTCATGTATATCTCCCAACTGCCATCTTGAGAAAACATATTGGCTTGATAAAACCTGGATTAATTGGAAGATATAATTAGACTAACTTTGGTTTCAGCCTTTACTATTGAAAATCTTTCTAACGCATATTATTCTGCTTTCTTTCATATATATTTCGTATATATTTCTTTCTTTCATATATATTCTGGGTCAATATATGATTTAGTCTGGAGTGGCACTATTCAAATAGAAATACAATATGAACCACATATGTAGTTTAATATTTTTCTAGTAGTCACATAAGGAAAAAGAAAAGAAAAAATGAAAATAATTTTAATAATTATGTTATCTAACATATTCAAAAGACTATCATTTTAGCTTGTAATTTAATATTATGTTAATAGAGATATTTTAGTCTTATTTTTGGTACTAAAAAATCTTCAAAGTTCAGCATGTATTGTATTTTATACTTGCAGCATACCTCCATTCAGACCAGATACATTTCAAGTGCTTAACAGCCACTTGTAGCTTGTGGTTATTGTACTAGACAGTGCATGTCCACACTTTATGCTCACAGGTTATATGTGTACCAGAAGAATCACATGGGAGCTTACTAAATGGAGTGTCTAAAGGGTAGTCCCTGTTATGGATCAGCATCTACATTTCAACAGTATCCCAAAATGATTCATGTACACATTATAGTTTAAGAAACACTGTTTTGGTGCCTCTATGCCAGGTGACAAGAATGAAACATTTGTTTACTAATTCTAACACCCATCCCATAAAGAGTCTCACTGAGTGGCTTGTAGAAGAGACAGGCACCTGTATTTTTAACAAGAGATGATTTTTATACTTAGGCAACTGGGAGAAAAATTGGTTCATCAAATCTAAGCATATTTTAATTGTAGGTATTTTCAGGTATACATGATTTAGACATTTCTCAAGGTTTTGCTCAATTTATTATTCTTATATATCAGTGAGTGACATATGAGGGCAGGAATTAGAAATGTTCTGCATGGTATTTTTGCCAGCATCTATGACTGAGTAAATATTTACTTCCTGATTCTGGCAGTTCATAGCCGAATGAGCCAAACCTTACTCATTCTCTACTACAAAATCTGAACTCAGTGAGATGAGAGTAGAAGACACATCAGATAAAATTTGCAATTACACCTTAAAATAGTCATTTTGCCTGGAGACCTGTCACAGGTGGGAAATCACACTGAAATTTGTCAGCTAATTCACATGTGTAAAAAATGAAAATGTCTAATATCCAAAAGTTTGATTTAAGAAAAAATACAGTACTATTGAGAAACTTTCCTAATTTATATTGGATCTGTGTTTTGTGTCTTTTATTAAATTTTTGCTAGATGGAAAGGAATATGATATTTATGTATCCTATGCAAGGAATGCTGAAGAAGAAGAATTTGTATTACTGACCCTCCGTGGAGTCTTGGAGAATGAATTTGGATACAAGCTGTGCATCTTTGACCGAGACAGTCTACCTGGGGGAAGTAGGTATTTCAGATGGGTACAGGTGATGCTACACTGAACAGCAGAGTAGACCCGTAGCTTCAGGTAACATGTAGAGTCATGGCACAGTTCTATGTTGACATCTTTGGACATTTAAATGCCCAATTCTTTTTGTAATAGATAGAGACTCTCTAGGAATAAATCTAGTCTTCCCAGATGTCTCAATGGTAAAGAATCTGCCTGCCAATGCAGGAAACACAGGAGATGTGTGTTCTATCCCTGGCTCAGAAAGATCCCCTAGGGAAGGAAATGCCAATCCACTCCAGTATTCTTACCCGAGAAGTCCCATGGACAAAGGAGCTTGGCAGGGTACAGCCCATGGGTCACAAAGAGTCAAAAATGACTTAGCAACTAAACAATAACAACAGGAATAATTCTACATTGTAAGATGTAGATTCAGTTCAGTTCAGTTCAGTCGCTCAGTCGTGTCCGACTCTGCGACCCCATGAATCACAGCACACCAGGCCTCCCTGTCCATCACCAACTCCTGGAGTTTACCCAAACATATGTCCATCAGTGTAGATTATTCAAGTGCAATTTATGGTTTTAAAATATTTCCCCAGTAAGCTTCAAAAACAATGTCAGAAAAGTGTAGATGCAGAGTGCATTGGAGCTCTGCTAGGAGCCACAGCTTTAAACATTTTGTTTATTCACATTTAGATTTTTAAAAAGGTTAAACAAATTGCAACAAATTGCCCAAAAATTTTTCAAAAAAGGAAGTTAAAAAAATTTTAAAAAAAAGAAAATTAACCAAATTTAAAAAAAAGGAAGGGCAAAAAAAAAGGCAAGGAAACCCCCAATAAAATAACTACCGGGAAGAAATAAAAAAATTTCCCTCCCTTTTTTTCATTCTTGTTTTCTAGCAAACCAATGCCACTCAAATCCCTTCTTTCCTTGTGTCTGTTTCTTCTTTCATATCAGATTACACATTTGAAATGAGTTTAACATTTTACAAAGGCCAGTATATTCTAATAGGTATAAAAAGATTGAAATGCTGAATGATTTAAAATAAAGTGTACCTCTAATTTTCAGATCCAGACAGTAACACATGAAGTGATGCTACATTTGAGTCTCTTTTATAGATGCATAATAGCACTCGTAAACCCACTGTTAAACTCTGTACTGTTAAAATGCATTAATATCTCTAATCTTTACAACAAACTAATTTATTTTCTTCCCCTAAATCCTGTGTACATTACTCACTAGCATATTTTTTAGTTATATTGATAATTTGAGAGACAGAATAGACATTAATGTTTATTCTTATTTTGAATTAGCTGGATCACTTACTTTATGTACAAAATCCTCATCCAAAAGTCCATCATGTTTCTGTTCTGTAGGAGATATCTCTTTCAGCATAATTTTGCCATAAAATGCTGACTTGACTATATGGATAAAGGACAAATCCCACTCATTTTGAAGCTTAAAATCTTAAATACTTTATTCATCTAATTATTCATTCATAAATCATTCAACTGATACTTACAGTCATGTGAAGATATACAGTATAACCACAATGTAAGACTCCAGCAGGGATTGATAGTTCTTTGAAGAATTCAAGTTCTATATAATTACTCTTGCATTTTGCTTTTGATGACTGATCTTTGTGATCTTTTGCATTCTCCCTGCTGCTTTTACTCAGTCCTCTTTGCCTCTAGGTCTCTTTCCTGCTTACACACAGTCAACCAGCAAAATTGCTTGGAGTAGACAATTACTTATTCCTGGATTCTCCTCTAGGCTGCACATGCTATTTTAATTTCAACTCTCTCCTCATTGCCTCTGTACCTGTGAAGATTAAAGGGCAAAATGACTGCTCAGGGGAGTGGGGAGTATGGTAAACCTTGAGATGGCTTTCCACAACACTGGTGCATTCCCTGGAGTTGCCTTCTATCTGAACCCCAGGAAAAGGATTATTCAGTCCTTGATAAGCAACCTCAAGGAGATGGATTATTCCCAAGAATTTAGTGACAGGAACTAATCAGAACCCTTGACAACAGAATAAAATTATACAGCATTTCCATTTTCCCCTGCTGCTGCTTCTTTTTTGACCTGAAGAAACCATTTGCTTGCCAGTGAAGGCGCACGCATCAGCTAGCAACTGCTGAAACACATGGCTTCATAGTAATGACAGGAGTTTAGGGAGAAAGATTCAGGGACTAATTTAGGCTCCAGAGCAGAGCAGAATAGAAAGCTGAGCTGAGAATGTGATTCCAGTCAAAATACCATTCAATTGGCTAGATTTTCTTAAGTTCCTATTCCAATGATATAGAATAGTCCGTGTCTGGGAGGTGCCTGAGAATAGAGAGGGACTACCAAAAAATGAAGTGTTTTGCTGTTCTGTGTTAGTGAAAAATTAATTTCCATGATTTAGCACTATAATATATGTTTTTTTAATACTCACTAGCAGTAGAGAGTTAATACATGGATATCTTTGGGGAGAAAGGGCTCAAGACCTGATTTTGCTGGGCCAAAATATGCCACACAGTTTGAAGAAATTGATTTCAGTACTACCCACTCATTCTTCAAGTCCCAAATGATGCTTCTGAAGACCAAGGTCATAGGAATACATTCTGGCTTTATGCCTGTTTGGAATTCCTTCAGAGTTGGAATATGTGCATTCAGTCTCTATTGTCCCTGAAGAGAGTGACATTTTCTGAACAGAGCAATTGGGTCTAAGGATTAAGTGTTGTTGATCAAAGTTTCACTCCAATTCTCAAACTATTATGCTAATTTCTTTTCACTTGCTCCTCAAGCCCCATACCTTGAGGGAGTTCTTGGCCATCACTAATCCCCATGGTGTTTTCTTTCCCAGTTGTCACAGATGAGACCTTGAGCTTCATTCAGAAAAGCAGACGCCTCCTGGTTGTCCTAAGCCCCAACTACGTGCTCCAGGGAACCCAAGCCCTCCTGGAGCTCAAGGCTGGCCTAGAAAACATGGCCTCTCGAGGCAGCATCAACGTCATTTTAGTGCAGTACAAAGCTGTGAAGGAAACGAAGGTGAAAGAGTTGAAGAGGGCTAAGACGGTGCTCACGGTCATTAAATGGAAAGGGGAGAAATCCAAGTATCCACAGGGCAGGTTCTGGAAGCAGCTGCAGGTGGCCATGCCAGTGAAGAAAAGCCCCAGGTGGTCTAGAAGTGGTGAGCAGGGTCTCACTTATTCATCCTTGAAAAATGTATGAAAGAGCCAGTGAATGATGGATGAAAAGATCCAGCAATACTCCAGGAAGGAAGGATTCCCCTGCTTTATTCCCAGTGTGTTGTTCATGGACAGAAACAAATTCTATGGAAGCCTCCCCATAGAGATAAATTCAGGGTTACTGTAGAAGAACTGTTCTGCTTCCTCAGGCAATACCAAGGCTTAGAATGACTGTGCCACCACCTGTCTCCAATGCCTGAGGTCACTCCATTTTTTGCAAGACCTGGTGATGCAAAATTCCCCTTCTGCATCCTCCATTCCTGTTCCTACTCCTCTCTATTCACTCACTCTGGCTCTCTCTCTCTCTCTTTTATTTTTTTTTTGAATAATCTTAATATTATGGGGCAGCCTTTGTTATTGATTTAAAGACCCCTTAAAGATGAGTCGTCTGTTAATAGGGGAGTTTCAAGTATAGTTTTATTTTCTTTTTATTCATCCCTTAAAAGATAATCAGGGCCTAAATTTATCTTCACTAAGGAAAATAAACTCTTTTGCTCATCCTTCTATACTAGACACCCTCACAGCATGACCGACACCACTTATGATGCTTTAAGCAGGGTGACTGTAAATGTTTCTTATGATTGGCTTAAAGGGCTTTCCCACATTGTCTCCTGTCATCTCCCCCCACCACCCCATGCACTCTATCTCAGGTAGTTGGTTTCATATTTGTCAGCTTGAAAACTATGTAATAATATTTTATTACAGTAAACTCCCAATTATCTGTAGGTTGACCCATAGCCATCACTCCATCTCCCTACCTCCTGCATTTTGGGTCGGTCATTCAGAGCATGCAGGTGGCTCCACACTTGATTCGTTGGAAAGGAAGCTTCTCTTACTGGTGCTAATATTGAGTAAAAGAAGAGCAAAAAGCTTTCAAGGGCATTTTCTCTCTTATAAGAAAAGCACAGAACAGGGTGTTTGTCAATTTGTCTTTTAATCTTAGCTTTGCTAATGTGAATATTCGGAAAATAATTTCTCTTCACTTGTTTCTGTCTCCCCATTGTAAAGTGTTAAAGTTAGACTTAGGGACCTTGAGAGTGCTTTTAGCATTAATACTCTAAAAGTATTAACTGGACCCTGAGTAGTTTTCATATTTTATTCACTGATAAGTTAATAACACTCACTTCAAACAAGTTAGACTGAAAAGTCACTGTCAACTAAACATGTTTTAGTTTGTATAAGTAAAACTTTACTGTTCTTAAGACTTGGAAAAGTGAAAACGAAGTTCAGGGTTTACAGAGTGCTGAATATCTATGTTACATGTAGATTTTTTAAAAATATATATGTATATATACACCCAATATATATATATTGCATATATACACATGAAATACATATACACATACATACATACATGAATTGTATATATATACACACACACACTACACACACATATATGTATATATATATCCACATATGACTTTAAATAGTCATTGGCACAACATTACAAATTACTGGAACTCTTATCCAGTTTTTAAATTATGTTTTTTACTGTAATATTTTTATGTCACTGTTTTCTTCACATTAATAATATTTGTGAATTTACGCTCACAGAGTAGTTGTTGTTAACTCCTGCCCTCCCTAAATGAGTAACAATAACTTATTACTGCCACAGCTGATCCGGGTGCAGTGAGTTCTGTTCTGCTCGGAGCTTCCATGGTCACTGCTAAGCAGTAGCCAGCCCTCTGGCATTAATTGACCATCTACTATATTCTAAGCACACATACTTAGAAATTACGTTAATCTTAGTGCGCAACTCTTGGGGAGATAAATCTCTATTTGGACTTTTAAGTAATAAAGAAAAAATAAAAATACCTTTAATGAGCCTGGGTATCCTATGAAACATGATAATTCATAATTTAAGGAAATTCTTATCTTAGTAGTATGAATGTTGATAAACTACTCTAAAATTTTCTCTTATATTTGTGTCCTTCTGAGTTACTAAATTCTATTTAATAAATCATTTTTCTATGGAGGAGTTATTTTAAATAAAACAAAAGCTTCATGAATCATTGACTATAAAACTATGGTATGGGGGTCATCTTGGCTCTAATGTTTTTAGCCTTGTTAATGCTTTTCTTTATCACAAAGTATAATTATTCCTTCTATTAACCCTTTCATCAAAAGACCAGAGGAGAACTGACCCAGATAAGATTTGAATTTCAATTCAAGAATGAGCTTTAGATAGATGAGAGACAGCCCCATTATCAAGGGGCCATTCTCTTGCCAATGCAGCATCTTTTTGCACTTTTGGATTTCATATTTATGCTAAATGATGTTTGGTACCCCTAGAAACTTCTAGATACTTTTTGTTCTATTTATATTACTGTATTTGCTACTGAACATTTCCAAATGCTGAAAATCTAAAGCAACTCAAATCGAAATGATATCTCATCCTAAGATAATTCTGTTTCAAGAGTTCTTTTTTGTTTGTTTGTTTGTTTTATGATCCAGAAGATGCCCAGTACAGAATATTTGAGAGAGAAGGAGAAACATACATTGGAGAGCAAGGAGAAATCACTCTCTAATATTAAAAATTAAAATATCCAACGTTAAAAAGAAAAATCTCAAAGGTTTTAGATATATGGTATAAAGACCTTCTGCATCCAATTAAACAAACAAACAAAAAAACATGATATATAGAGTGTCCAATTACACAATCATATAAAATAATTTAATTTTTTCTGCATTGTAGTTTAGATAATTCCCTAGTATTCTAATAAACAAGTACTCCATTGTATTGGGGAACAAAAGTTTCACTCCACTTGTTAATTGTCTATTTTCTTTCCATAGGTTTTCATATTTTAAGACTATCTTTTTTATTTTATTCATAAATGTTTGTATTTTCCATTTTCCATTTGATTTGTAAATTTGTTTATTTTAAAAATAAACCATTTATTTTCACCTTTGAATTTTATTTTGTGCATGTGTTTTATGTATTTTTCATGTTTGGGCATAAGAAATGAGAATAAGAAGAATGATACACTTAGAAAAAGAAATGTTTTAAGGGACATTAGTTTTCTCTTTCTGAGAAAAATCTGAAGAAAACTGGGAACTTCAACTCAACATTTTCTTTACCTCTGAGTAAAAGAGTTACTTAAGTAAAATGGATTGATCTAATATACCAGACATCTGTAGGTGTTTGTGTGTGTGCATGTGCACATGTGAATGAGTGTGGAAAGAGTCAAAAGAGAGAATGAGATGGAGAAAAGGATGAGGAATAGAGACAAAGAGAGAATAGAGAAAGGAAGAGAGAGAGGAGAGAGTTTTAAGATAGAGACACAAACCTATTTCTTTTTGTTCAGCTTGAAACTTGGACAGTTAACAGTAATAGCTTACCTTTTATAGGTTTTCAACTCGAAAGCAGTTGCCTTAAAAAGATCAACAATGTCTTGCCTTTAGTTAACTGGTGATCATTTGAATCAAATATGCATTTCTATTTCAAACAAATCAGTAATAAATATTTGAAAAGACATTTTCTTTTGAGTTAATATTAAGCCTGTAGTAACAGGGGAGCTTTCTTGCTTTTTTAAAATAAATCTTATTTATTCCAAGAACATTTATTGGGCCTCTATAACTTAACTGGTTTGCTTAGTAAAAATTTTCCTCCAAAAAATTTCCCTGTTTCAAGCCAGTCTTCAAAGAGTAGACTTAGGATCAATGCATGGAAGTTACAAAAAAAGCAATCCTTACTCATAAGAAACAACTTTAAAGCAGAGTTGAAACATAATGTATATCACTGTCTCTGGAGATATAAGCAGCCAGGTGATGCAGTGGTAAGGAATCCTCCTGCCAATGCAAGAGCTGCAGGTTCAATCCCTGGGTCAGGAAGATTGCCTAGAGAAGGAAATGACAATCTACTCCAGCCTATTCTTGCCTGGAAAATTTCATGGACAGAGGAGGCTGGCAGACTATGCAGCTCCAATGTGTTGCAGAGTTGGACACGACTGACTGGACTGACTGACTTAAATGACAACTGAGGTTATTAGGTCTTTGATACAAGTAAACACGCAGTGTAACAAGGGACACATTCAGCAGCTTATCTATTTCTCTGTTTCTAGTCAAGGGATATGAAGTAGTCTTAGCAATGGGCTAACTAAGTATTCCAATAGTATATTATCCACTTTTGTTTTAAACTGAATAGACAGAATTTGAAAACTTTGAATCCACATTTTAAGTCAATCCTCTAAAGTTCCCATTAAGGATTAATTTAGAATCAATATTAGTCAATACATTATTTTAATATTGTGCTCAGTGAACATTGAATAATAATACTTTAATCAAGGTGGTTAATTCAAAAGCATACCATGCAGTAGACATTGACCTATAGGTATTAATAAATTGTCCAGCAACCCTACAAATTGGCTCTCATTATATGCATTTTATAGATGGATGAATTCAACTTTAAAGATACTAAAATAAATGATTATACTATTAAGATAAATGGAGAAACCAGTATTTGAATTCAAATTCATCTTTCAAATTAGATGCCCCTATTTTTTAAAATCTGTACTTCAAGTTTTAAGAGAAAGAGAGGTTTAACACACTCTCACATACCAGTAATCTAGCTAAAGAACAAAATTACAGTCCTAGTTTTCTTTTAGTTTTCTTTCTACTCCCAAGTTAATACCAAGGATATTATAACTATTATAGGCAGGACTATTCTAGAGTAGTGAAGAGTTCTAGATCAGAAACTGTCACTTCAAACCCAATTTATTACCACACAAAAAAAACTGGTCTTATCAATCTATAGCCACACCTCAGGTTTTCTTATTGTTTTTTTGAGCCAAACAGAATAAACGACCTAATTTAAGATGCCCTCTCCAAATAATATTCATCATTTTAAAAAAGTAATAATTAACATCCTCAAATATGAAATTTAACAGTTTGGAAGATATTAAAATAGGCCATAAAAGAGGCAGTTTCCTTCAAAGTACTATATGAAGACGCCAAGGTATAGACCAACTCTTATCTGAAAACCATCTTCTACTCTATTCCTCAATGTCTGGAATTCCACCATTCATATTTATTTATTTATTTATTTATTTTGCATTACCCTCTCTAAAAGGCAAATCCTCCACTTTCAAGTGGATTACCAAAATTAAAAAAAAAAAAAAGCCATAGGCTTTAAAGTCAATTTTTTTAGAGGGTCTAAGACAATGTTTTATTTTCAAAAATGGTACCCCCTTTTGACAGAACAAACATTTTCCTAAAGTGACTATTTAGAAATGAACCACCCATACCCACAGTTACACACCTCCTCCCTACACGCATACAATTTGAGTGCACAAGTTCCTTTTGTTGAAAATCTATCCATGTTATCTTAGGGTCATATCATATTCATCATGATACAGGAGAAACAGTAAACTTCCTAAACTCACAACCTTGGTTTTATGAAAGGTAGAAACATAAGATTCTGAATAAGATAGGAGATAAAAGGAGTTACCAAGACACACAAATACACACACACAAACACAAATACAGACACACACACACAAACAGGCTTTGAAGATAAGTGATGATTGAAGCAAAAAGATAAGATTGAAGCAAAAAGTAACTAAAATACTTTGTGCTCTTGATAAAGCCAGTCAGATGTTCTTGAACACTGAGCACATCTCTTTTGGTTTTCCTTCAAATTCATGTTCAATTCAACAGCTGGAAAGAAATAATATGGTAGAGAGCAAAGCTCCTTCATTCCCTGTCAAATTCACGATCCAATTCACTGCAACTTTCAGCTTGTCTTCACAGACTGAAAAGTCTCTCCCTCAGTGCTTCACTCCTGGGCTGAAAAGCATAGGTGCTCAATCTCATGGTCTGTTCACAGCATGTGTTTCTGGAGTTGTCAACAGCTGCAATTTACAAGTTTGGAATTTGCTTCAGAAAATCTGTTTAAGCTCCTAAATCTCACAATGAGTTTAGCACTGCGTTTATCTCAAGAAGCTTCCATTAGGTTTTGCACAAATTCACCACAATAACTGTTAGAATTGAATGCTTTGTGAGAAGTCTCAACTAATTGGCTGATTTTTACCAGTTATTGTTGTCATTGTTGTTGCCTCTTTAATTGTTGTTCAGACCAATTCTTGACATAGAGAGAAAAAGAAAGGGAATTTTGGTTGACATCACAGTCAATACTATGAACTGTCTGATAAGTCCAAAAATTTTAAGTATCAAGAGCAATAACTGTGTGGATCTTAGGAGCTAGTAATGCCCTGTAGACCTTTGCTGATAAGACTGTGTCTGGAGCATTATGTTCAGTCCTGTTCATGATATTACTCTTAGATGACATATATACATAAACTGAATGTTACTAAGAAAAAAAAAATCAATAAAAGTAGGAAAGAGACTTGATACCAATTCATATGGAGAATAAGATACAAAATTCATGAAAGCTATTTAATCTAGAGACGAGGAAAAAAATACAATGGGATCACAATAATTATGAGATACTTAAAGTATTTTAAAATGTTAGATCTAAGACCACTAAAGTGGAAGGAAACAACTTTTCAAAACAAGAAATTATTTACAAGTAGAGCTGAAATTAGCTGTTTTTAGAGGTGGTTACTTCCTCATCCTTGAAGGTAGCCGACACTGCAACCATAAGAGTAGTGTAGATGAGATTCCTTACCTGTGTAGATTATTTAACACTTCGATCTTATATTCTCATGTTCATTGCCTGTCCTCCCTGGGATTGTCAACGATGAACTGAAGCTTGTATGTTTTCACTAGGCATTGTCCTATCTTTCATTCTCCTATAGATACAGTGGAAGCAGTTTTTGACTTCATTCAAAGGAGCCGAAGGATGATT